GCTGGAACCGGAACAGAGGCCTGGACCATGGCTGTGTGGGCCAGGTAATCGAGCAAGGAAACATAGCGCTGCGGGCCGGTACTGGTGCATGGATCGATGGCTGTGGAAACCGGAACTGAAGCCGGGATCATGGCTGTTGGAGCACGGGCTGGAATCCTGGCCCTGCGTCTCCTAGAGGCTTTTTGGAGACTCCGTGGACCTCCAACAGGACAGTAGTCGGATCCCAGGAAAGGGTTAGAAGCTTGTGACAAGTCTTCAGGGCTACTTTGTAGCCACTCAGGCAACAAGCTCCTGAGCCAGGGCTTGCGGGCAACCTCCCGGCGTGCCTCCTTCAAAGTAGCCTCTTTACCCCGTCTAGATGAGGCGTTCTTCCAGGTGTAAAAAATGTACTCCAGAGAAAACCGCCTGTGGGGCCAAAACATTCAAATCTGCTGAGTCCAAATTTGGTCGGTTCATTCTGTTACGATTGGGTGAAGCAGGTAGGACTCAAATGCAGAATTTAACGAAAAGCGAGCTTTATTAAATAATAAAAGCTGTGGCAAAAAGGCAGTATCCAAAATATACAAAACAAACGAGCAGCACAAGGAACATAGACCGTGGAATAACATGGAGGGGAAACAATGAACCGACATGGAACACAGGGGAAGACTAAATACACAGAAGGGTAATCACAGGACAAGACAAAGCTGGGCAGGAGAGGGAGAAACACAAGGGCAACAGGTGAACACAATGAGACAATCCAACCCAGTCTCACAAAAAAACGTGTAATAACTACGTTGGTCCACAACGTAGGACGTAGTATTTCTACAAAAATGCCTCTGAAATTGTAAGATCCCTACGTTTTTTTTCACCATTCATTTCCAATGGCTGGCGTCTATGTCACGTGATCTTCAAATTTCTCCCTGCAGAAAAAAAAAACATGGCCGAACTTCGTTTTATTCTCGGCGTAAAATGCCTATTTTAAAGTTAGTTTGGCCATTAAAATGCGTTTTGATGTCATTTGATGCGAGAAATATGAGTTGTTATTACAGATTATGTGTGCAGTGGATGCACATGATCTTTAGTTTGCTAGTTATTACGAAGATTACTTCAGGAAATTGTGTCTATACAACGTTTTCATTGTCACCAAGGTGGTTGCTAGGGATGCTGCTATCGATATTATTTCTGTTATGTTGTGTAACTGTTTAATGGTGTTATCTTTATTGCTACCCCCTTCCCCGTCAATGTATAGTGTTGGTCCACAGCGCAAATGGATTAGTTTAACAAAATCTGCATCATCCCTGTGCAATTCTCCATTTACTCAACAATAACACATCAATTAATTATCCTTGTGTTTATTTATTTGTTTGATTAATAAACACAAGTTGGAGTCCGTCAGGACCGAGGGTCGGAGCAGCTCATTTGCTTTACAGAATATTACACCCGGAAGTAAGTGTTCTCTCCGCTTCGCTTGACAAACCCCGTGATAGTCCTCAAGCTCTGTGATTTGAGAGTGTGTAGTTTTAAAAGACGTTTTCGTATTTCCCATAATAAGAAGTGGCCAGTATTAAACTGTGTACATCCCTGGAGGTTTAGGGGATAGGAAACACTCAAATGTAAAACATATAATTAATAAATGGGTGAAATTTGCTTGTGCCCATAATGGGTAGCATTACCCACATGCCAGCTAAGGTCAGAAGAGCTTTATTTAACAGCTGGTCTTATGTTTGTGACCCCTCCTGTTGTTAATTGATAAGCCTGAAACATGCACTTGTCAAGTTTCAGAGGCACATTTAGCAAATCTGGCAGTAGCCATCGATCATCTTAAGATAAGATATACTTTATTTATCCCAAGTTGGAAACATTTGCATTACATCAGCATGTGTAACAGTTGTAAATATGCAGTGGTGTTTATTTGTAAATCATTTAGTATAATCACACAAATTCTGTGTTTTATATTTAATAATTCTGTGTTCTTTATTTATTGATTGTTCAATACCTGACAAGGCCGGAGATGAAAAACTTTGGTCGCAGGTTCCTCAACAGTGCATTACAAGACATCTATCAATATGTGTGTACCTCCACCATTAAACTGTCGTATTCTGCACATTTCTTATACTATCTACATACATATTATGTAAGAGTATAATACATATGTATAATATCAGTTAACATAAGTGCTTCAACATAGTTAACATTGCTGGAGGTATACACAAAGTTTTCCATTCATTGCATAACTACACCGTTTGTGTATATGATATGTCAATAAACCTTAGAAAATCTTGAAATCTTGAAAGGGATGTGCAAAATAGTCATTATATACAGTCTTTAATTAACTATTAGTAGAGAATAACGAGTAATGAATATACTTTATAGGGATCCTATTCATATCTAATAATGAAAATAATGAAATTCAATAACGTGCTTTAACCACTAGGTGTCCCTTTATATCAGCTGTGCACCGTTATGGTGTAAATACAGCCTATCTATCAATTGGATCAAATATAAAAGTCAGCCGAATTAGTGTTGATACTGCAAGGAGACGTATTGTGTGAAAAGAAATGTAAGATGTTGTTTAATGGCTGATATGATCCATGTCTCGTCCAGCGGCTCGTCTGGTCTTCAACCTTCCTAAATTCTCCCACACCACTCCGCTCCTCCGCTCCCTTCACTGGCTTCCGGTAACTGCTAGAATCCACTTCAAGACACTGGTACTTGCTTACCATGCTGCGAATGGATCTGGCCCTTCCTACATCCAGGACATGGTTAAACCGTACACCCCAGCGCGTGCACTACGCTCTGCATCAGCCAAACGACTCGTTGCGCCCTCGCTGCGAGGGGGACCCAAGTTCCCATCGGCGAAAACACGTGGGTTTGCTGTCCTGGCTCCAAGATGGTGGAATGAGCTCCCCATTGACATCAGGACGGCAGATAGCTTGCACATCTTCCGGCGCAAACTGAAAACTCATCTCTTTCGACTCCACTTCGAGCGTTAGAACTATTAACGAAGCACTTTTATACTAATAAAGGGCTGGCTTACCTAAAGCCAGTTGAGTAGCACTTGAAATGTTTGGCTCTATGAAACCTGATGTACTTATATGATTCTGTTTTCTTCAAGGTTGTGTCTTCCTGGTCGAATGTACTTATTGTAAGTCGCTTTGGATAAAAGCGTCAGCTAAATGCAATGTAATGTAATGTAATGTAATGTCACGTTTTCAGTGTTTGCGGCAGTTCCTCATGTTTGTCTAGAAGTCTTCTCATCAGGGCTCTATAGAGAACTACGGCAGATATGTCATATTTAATGCAGCCGAACCGTGTATTACAATGCCGTTATGTGATGACTTTCAAAGAGAAAAGCAAGCACACTCGGAATAAAGTATTTTTGGTCTGTTTCCGGTATTTGTTTATGACGATGTGATGTGAGATGTGAGACTGGAATTGCACAGGGGAAAATAACGTATCTATGCCACACTTTTAGATGCGGATTTTGTTAAACTAATACGTTTAGGCTGTGGACCAACACTATACATTGACGGGGGAGGGGGTAGCAATAAAGATTACACCATTAAACTGTTACACAACATAACAGAAATAATATCGATAGCAGCGTCCCTAGCAACCACCTTGGTGACAATGAAAACGTTGTATCGACACAATTTCCTGAAGTAATCTTCGTAATACCTAGCAAACTAAAGATCATGTGCATCCACTGCACACATAATCTGAAATAACAACTCATATTTCTCGCATCAAATGACATCAAAACGCATTTTAATGGCCAAACTAACTTTAAAATAGGCATTTTACACCGAGAATAAAACGAAGTTCGGCCATGTTTTTTTTTTCTGTAGGGAGAAATGTGAAGATCACGTGACATAGGCTGCTTCTCAGGTCGACTATTTTCATTTCCTCGCTCGTCGGTCTCACCGGAAGTTGATTTGCCTGCGCCATCTTGAGTACCGTCCCATGGCACTTATTTCGCTCACTGATTGGACGATGCAGCGCATGCACTGATCTGATGCTTCTTGACATGAGAGCAGAGTGAAGAAAATACATGAATCTCACGGGAATCACTCCTCAGTTTATACCGTGTTTTGTTTCAATTCATGTATCATTTAGTTACAAATATGTGATATATCTGAACAACAAAGTGGTCAAAAATCATTTAATTCATTTTTTGGAAACATTTTCATGATCGCTTTTTTCGTTTTACATTTTCATTTATTGTCATTTCCATTCAGTCAGTCATTATGGGCTATTGAAATGTTAATTTACTACATATCCAAACAAACAAACAAAGTGTGCAATCCAATGAATGTTAATCTAACTGGGTTTTGATAGATAGCATATCTCTTTTTCTTCTCTCAATTATTTTATTTATTTTGTGCACTCTAATCAATATTAATCAAACTATTGTTCGTTTATACATTTTAAGAATGGCGTTTATCTTTTTTGAGAATTAGTTCTTATTGTATTTAATGTATTTGGGTCTACAACAGATGATACAAATGTTTGTGTCAGTAAATGTGTACTAACAGAGGCGGGGGTGTTTGTGAAAATAACGGGAACAGAGCTGCTGTCAGACGATCAACTGTGCGGCGTCATCACAAACGGACGTCGCTTCACGTGACGCTCCGGAGGAAAGGACGTCCCATTGCTCTTAAAACTAATTTCCCTGCCTCTCGTGGTTTCCTTGCGTCTCTCCATGCTTCCCTGGTGGGAGGGACTAAACGCAGGGAAACGACGCAAGTGAGGGAAGTAAGGATTTCATTTAATCGACCTGAGAAGCAGCCATAGACGCCAGCCATTGGAATGAATGGTGAAAAAAAAAACGTAGGGATCTTACAATTTCAGAGGCGTTTTTGTAGAAATACTACGTCCCACGTTGTGGACCAACGTAGTTATTACATGTTTTTTTACGAGACTGGGTTGGTGACTCCAGTGTTTTGGTGTCATCTAATGATAATGTAGGGAGGCCTAACCCGCTAAAAATGTTGGCAAAGTCTGTTACAGATATGGGCATCTGTTAATGCCTGCTATATAGTGACGCCTGTTGGCGCTTTAGTAAACTGCATGCTGACACAGGCTTAAACTGTGATGTACTATATCCGCAAGCGCGGGAATATACATGTGATGGAGTTGTGACGGAATAAAGCTGCAGACTGAAACATGATGTCAGAAGTGGTCTTCTTGGACTAAAAGCTCAAGAAAACTCACGTCATGACGACAAACAGTATTCCGGCACCCGAGGGCATGCATATGTCTGGTGATATAGCCAAAAACTGGGAGGTTTTTAGAGCAGAATTTGAGGACTTTATGCTCGCTACAGGTCTGACCGAAAAAACGAATGCGGTGCAGGCAGCCACGCTGAGACGGCATGGGGAACGAGTGCCGGCATATATATATGCACAACGTCACGCTGACCGAGGAACAAAAGAAAGACCCCAAAACAATCTTGGATGCGTTGGGGGATTATTTCAAGCCGGCAAAAAATGTGATTTATGAGAGATACACGTTTGGATGCTGCAAACAAGGACCGAACGAGCCGATCGATAGCTTTATAACAAAGCTGAGGGAAAAAGCATCATCATGTGAGTACCGTGACCTAAAAGATGAACTGATTAGGGACAGGCTGGTACTCGGTATTGCCAGCGAGAGCACCAGACGGAGACTGCTGCGTGAACGGGACCTAACGCTGCCAACAGCTGTGGAGATTTGCCGCCTTGCAGAATTGACGGAGTCACGCATGAGGCTTATTGAGAGCCCGCAGGCACAGGTGGACAGTATTAATTCTATGGTGGACAGGCAAGGCGGACGACGCAAAATACAGTGGAAAACAGCTGAAAGAAACACAGCGGCTGAGAGAGAGCAGCAGTGGACCTGCAAATACTGTGGAAATGGACACAAACGGGGCAGAGAGCAGTGCCCAGCCTATGGTAAGACCTGCCGAGCATGTGGCGTTTCAAATCACTTTGCAAAAGTATGTCAGGCCAGCAGCAGAGCAGAGAAAACAAGAAAAGTTAATGTTGTTGAGGATGTACAGCAAACTGAAGGGGACTCGGATACAAGTGAAAACCTATACAATGTCACTGAATATGTGGGGAATGTGAAAGCACCTGGACGCAAATGGTTTGTACACCTACACCTGAATAAGAAAAGACAGCTATGCCAGCTAGATACAGGGGCCACTTGCAATGTTATGGGCCGCCAGTTTAAAGAGAAACTGTCACCAAAGACAGCCTTACAGCCGACCAGAACAAGGCTAAAGCTGTACTCTGATACATACATGCCATCCCTGGGGAAATTTCACACTGACTGTGTGGTCAGGGGGAAAATACACAGACTTGTGTTTGAGATAGTGAACACCAAACAAAAGCCCCTGCTCGGTGGTGCTGCATGCACTGATCTGGGCCTTGTGAAATTCACTATTCCAAGAGAACTACTGCCAGCGGAGGTGAACACTATTGATGCAAGCCAGTCTATGCCACTCACAAAAGAAATGCTACTGAAAGACTTTCATGATGTTTTCCATGACCCGATCGAGTCAGTCCCAGGTAATATTCATTTCGATCTGAACCCTGAAGTGACACCAGTCCAGTGCTCACCACGAAATGTCCCTGTAGCGCTAAAAGCCCGGGTTAAGGAAGAGCTGGACAAACATGTGAAAGCAGGCAACCTTACGCCAGTGACAGAGCCAACAGCGTGGATAAGCAACATGGTGACAGTAGCTAAACCAGACAAGATAAGAATCTGCATTGACCCAAAGCCTCTCAATCAGGCACTTCTCAGGTCCCATTACCACATGCCAACGCTAGAAGACGTCTTGTACAAACTGCCCAAGGCTCGTGTCTTCACACTGGTTGATGCTCGTGACGCCTTTCTCCAGTGCAAGCTTGATGAGGAAAGCAGCCGCTTGACGACATTCTGGACCCCATGGGGTCGGATGAGATGGCTCAAACTCCCGTTTGGAGTCTCAGTGGCGCCAGAGATCTATCAGCGCAAGCAACATGAGCTGCTATCAGGCCTGGCTGGCATCGAGCCTATTGCGGATGACATCCTGGTGGTCGGGTGTGGCGATACGGACGCAGAGGCTGAAGAGGACCACAACACCAACTTAAGAGCTCTCATGCAACGGTGCAGGGCTGTGAAGCTCAGATTGAGTGAACGCAAGCTGCAGTTCAAGCTCAAAGTTGTACATTTCCATGGCCATGTACTGTCTACAGAAGGACTGAAAATCGACCCAGAGAAAACTCAAGCAGTGTTGGACATGCCGACGCCCACGGATGCTAAGGCAGTGCAACGCATGATCGGGTTTGTGACATATCTGGCTAAGTTCCTGCCAGGGCTATCGGAGATCTGTGAACCTCTTCGCAGACTCCTGGATAAGGACACAGCATGGCACTGGCTGCCAAAACACGATGATGCAATACGCGAGATAAAGCGGATGGTCACCAACACGCCGGTTCTCAAATATTATGACGTCACAAAGCCTGTAACGATCCAGAGTGATGCCAGCATGAATGGACTGGGGTGCTGCTTGCTGCAAAAGGGGCAGCCCGTAGCCTTTGCTTCATGCGCACTGACACGGACTGAGCAAAACTACGCTCAAATAGAGAAAGAGTGTTTAAGCATAGTTTTTGCATGCCAGAGATTTCACCAGTACCTATACGGCAGGGACACAATCACTGCAGAAACAGACCACAAACCACTGATCACCATCTTTAAGAAGCCCCTCATGAATGCGCCTAAATGCCTTCAGGGCATGTTACTGCAGCTCCAGGGGTACAATCTGGATGTTGTTTACAAACCAGGCACGGAGATGTATGTCAGTGACACTCTAAGCAGGGCCACTCCACCGTATCGTGGTTCCGACACCCCCTATGTACGACAGGCGGTGTGTTCCATGGACAGCTTTCAGGTGGAGGACTCAGAGCTGGATCAGGCACAGCATCTGGATGTTACTGACTTCAGGTTTCGCCAAATTGCCCAGCACACAGAGATGGACGATGTATTACAAGCTTTGACATCAGTAATCCTCAGGGGATGGCCTGATTTCAAAGAGGACACCCCCCTCTTGGTGCGAGAATACTGGCCCTTCAGGGATGAGCTCAACGTGCAAAACAGTGTGCTATACAGAGGGCAGTGCGTTGTTATCCCTAAGGCCTTGAGGGCAGAGTTGTTAAGACGCATACACACCAGCCACATCGGGGGGGAGGCATGTTACAGGCGCGCCAGGGATACGCTGTTCTGGCCAAACATGAGAACAGAGATAAAAGACTATGTGTCGAACTGCTCTGCATGCAATGAATATGCACGAGCCCAGCAGAAGGAATCATTGATGTCGCATGATATCCCAACACGTCCATGGCAAACAGTGAGTATGGATATCTTCTCTTACGCTGGCCAAGATTTCATCGTCCTAGTGGACCACTATTCAGACTTCTGGGAGATTGATCTTCTGCCGGATCTATCAGCTGACACTCTCATCACACGCTGTAAATCTCAATTTGCATGCTACGGACAGCCAGACAAAGTGCTCACAGATAATGGCCCACAGTTTGCCTGTGAACAGTTCAGGAAGTTTGCTGCAAAGTGGGGATTTAACCATGTCACATCCTCACCCAGATATCCAAAATCAAACGGCAAAGCTGAGTCAGCTGTCAAGATAGTGAAATCACTCTGCAAGCGGGCAAAGTTGGATGGCACGGATAAATGGCAGGCCATTCTCCATTGGCGCAACAAGCCCACAGAGGGGTTGGACAGCAGTCCAGCCCAACGCTTAATGTCACGAAGGCTGAAGACTTCGCTGCCGGTTGCGGACAGCTTGCTGCAACCGTGGTTAGTGACGGGAGTGACGGAGAAGCTGCGGTTGAAACGGCGGCTTGCAAAATCCGCCTACGACATATCGGCAAGGGACTTACCAGAACTGAATGTTGGGGAACACATAAGGATGAGGCCTCTTCCAGGAGATCGCACAGGCCGTTGGCAACTGGGTCAATGCCTCCAGAAAGTCGCTCCTCGCTCATTCGTAGTGGAGGTGGACGGCACGCTCTACAGGAGAAACCGGGTGGATCTGCGGGTTGCAGAGCACTCAGCCCGGATGCGACAGCTGGTAGGGCCGGAGCAGAGCAGCCACACGGACCGGGGCCATGTCAACGCAGAGAGGGCTGCAGGTGGAGCTCGAACCGACCCGGTCCAGGATGACACAGGTTTGGGGGAGCCTCCTCACTCTCCAGGGGTCCCGGCGCAAGGGCGGGGTTTGACACCAGGGAAGCCAGTGAGTACAGAGAGCCAAGCTGTATACTCGCGGTGTGGTCGCCTGTTACGGCCGCCGCAGAGACTGAACCTGTGATACAACTGGGAACATTGTCACTAAGTCTGTTGGACTGTTAAGAAAAAAAAAAGAATTGTTGGATATTATTATAGTTTTGTATCGGTACTTGCATGGTTAATCAGTATTGTAATTGTTTTCATGTATTGGAGGTTGACAATGTTAAAGTGTTAGCTTTACACAATGTAGCTCTTACCTGCACTTTAAAGTGACATGCTGATGTTGTTTACAGCTAAAGGAAAGGAGATGTTACAGATATGGGCATCTGTTAATGCCTGCTATATAGTGACGCCTGTTGGCGCTTTAGTAAACTGCATGCTGACACAGGCTTACACTGTGATGTACTATATCCGCAAGCGCGGGAATATACATGTGATGGAGTTGTGAGTTACGGAATAAAGCTGCAGACTGAAACAAAGTCTTCGTCAGAAGGAACTGAGCTACTTGAATACAGTTCTTTAAAGTCATTTTTAAATGTTTCATTTATTTCCTCTGTGGGGATGGGTACCGAGCCCCGGTATTAAACGGACCCCGGGGCTGAATTATTAAAGCCTGTGGTACCGTTAAGCTCCGACGTTATCGGTATTTTTATCGGTACTGGAGACATCTAAAAAATATGTATGTCATATGTATTATTGCTACACAAACATTATATTGGAGTTTTAGTGTCGTCAACTCCGTTTCTAATACGCAAAAAGACTGCAAAATGCGTCCATGATTATTTTTAGTATTTTCGATCTCTCTCCCCCGTCTGTGTGCGAGGGGGCGGGGCAGTTTACACACACGCGGCTGCTACATGCAGCAACACACACTGCGGAGATGGCGGAGAGAACTCGCTCCGAGGTGTGGTTAAACTTTACCCGTCTCGATGTGGACAATGCTCGTTACCAAAAGTGCAATAAGAGTTTAGCATGTAAGGGCGGTAACACGAGCAATTTGTCTAAACATTTAGCAAAAGTGCACCACATTCAGACGGAGAAATGCACCGGGTTCGACCGTCTTTCGAGTAGCTCTGTAGCCCTATCCAACAACTCAATTATACAAACCTGGGTTAATCATTAGAGGTAACTAAGTTATTTATTTAGTTACAGTTTCAGCTATTCTGTTTACAGTTCTGTCATCAGATTATTTAATATTATTTGTTAAAACATTGTTGTTTCTTTTGATGTGAAATAGTATGTATTTCATTTAAATAAAAAGCAATGTTAGTTTTGTTCACAATTTATTTAGTTAGTTTACCTTTTTTTTTTCTCCAAAACAACCGATAAGAGTATCGATAAAAGTAACTAACGATACCCATCCCTACTCCTTTATATTACATTACATTACATTGCATTTAGCTGACGCTTTTATCCAAAGCGACTTACAATAAGTACATTCGACCAGGAAGACACAACCTTGAAGAAAACAGAATCATATAAGTACATCAGGTTTCATAGAGCCAAACATTTCAAGTGCTACTCAACTGGCTTTAGATAAGCCAGTCCTTTATTAGTATAAAAGTGCTTCGTTAATAGTTCTATCGCTCGAAGTGGAGTCGAAAGAGATGGGTTTTCAGTTTGCGCCGGAAGATGTGCAAGCTATCTGCCGTCCTGATGTCAATGGGGAGCTCATTCCACCATCCTGGAGCCAGGACAGCAAACCCACGTGTTTTCGCCGATGGGAACTTGGGTCCCCCTCGCAGCGAGGGTGCAGCGAGTCGTTTGGCTGATGCAGAGCATAGTGCACGCGCTGGGGTGTACGGTTTAACCATGTCCTGGATGTACGAAGGGCCAGATCGCAGCATGGTAAGCAAGTACCAGTGTCTTGAAGTGGATTCTAGCAGTTACCGGAAGCCAGTGAAGGGAGCGGAGTGGTGTGGGAGAATTTAGGAAGGTTGAAGACCAGTCGAGCCGCTGCATTCTGGATGAGCTGCAGAGGTCGGATGGCACATGCAGGTAGACCAGCCAGGAGGGAGTTGCAGTAGTCTAGGCGTGAGATGACGAGAGCCTGGACCAGAACCTGAGTCGCTTTCTGTGTCAGCTGGGGACGTATCTTCCTGATGTTGTAAAGCGTGTATGCAGCAACGGGTTGTAGCAGCGATGTTTGCAGTGAAGGACAGGTTGTACTCCTCTGTAGAAGATACTGTTCCGCGTTTATTACATGATTGCTGGTATGGTCCTTTTAGCCTCTTGTTGTTTTAAAGTTAATGCCAAAAGGTGGCTTGGTCTGCTGCCTTCTGCATAATACTTGTGTTTGGTTATATGGATCATATATTCTGCCCTGTGTCTTAATAGATTGTTAAATTCTGCTTGCTTTGTTTTGAGCTCACTTTCTATTGTTGTTGTGTATCTCTCTTTTAGGACTTTTTCCAACATATTACATTGTTCTTCTAGGTGAGAAATATTTTGCAGTCGGCTTTTATGTAGGTGGGAACTGAACCGTATAGCATTATTTCGTATAAAACCCTTGATGGTGGCCCAAACCACCGTCACATCCGTGACGCTATTCTTATTCAAGATTATAAATTCTGTCAGTTTTGATCTCAATTGCGATATAAATGTGTTGTTCTTTAAAAGGGTCGTGTTGAACCTCCATCTAGTAGCCCCATTTTTTATATTTCCATAGTTAAAATTAGCTAAAATTGGGTTGTGATCCGAGAGATGTCTGGGTAGGAACTCAATTGACTGTATTGAAGGCATCAGCCCAGAAGATATAAGTCTATTCGAGGTCAAGGTTTTATGTCTCGTGGAAAAGTCTCTCGCAGATGGATTATGCACCCTCCACACATCAATTAAGTTTATGTCTGTTATAAAGAGATTAAGTGCTTTGGAAGCAGATTCTTGAGAACTTGATAGAGTTGCAGCAGATTTGTCAAGGTTATTGTTTACAAAAGCATTCATGTCCGACCCAACATATAATTGGTAGTCATTTAACTTCAGTAACTGTGAAGTGACTGAGGGAAAAAAAATCAGCTTCAAATACTGTCGGGGCATATATGCTAACAAAAGCCACTTTTTTACCCTGAATAGATGTGCAGCAATAGGCTAGACGTCCTTTATTGTTAGAGCCAATCCTTTCAATTGATACATTTATGTTGCGCCTCATAAGTAGGCTATCATAGCTCCTTTAGTGCGAGTGTCATCAGTTGATGCCATAATAGGTTTATAGAATCTGTTTTGAACCCTTGAGGTGTCATTAGGTTTAAGGTGTGTCTCCTGAAACATTGCAATATACAGGGGTGGCGGGTACTGTAGGCTAGGGAAGGCTAAGCCTTCCCAAATATTTTTGTCACTGCATCCTGGTAAAATAAAAATATAATGTATGTTTGTGTCTTTGACATTTGCGCTTCTATGCAGCCACCTGTGCACTACGATTCTACGAAGCCAGTTCAACACACCCTGGATATGTTTGAGTTTTCTTAACTAACCCTAACAAACGAGATCTAGCTAAGCGGTCCAACGACGCTGGTTATCAACTCGGTAAATCAAGCCAGGGTTTCTCTCTCCATCTGAGAGCGCATTCACGTGAAAGGGGCGGGGTTAGCTACATTTGACCAATCACAAACAGGGACAAGTGTACTAACGGCGCAGCGTCATACTTCATTAATGAAAAGTAAACTATAGACAAATATGAACTTTAACCATCCATGACTGGATGCACCTGCAAGGAGAATACAGAACAACTGGTTAAAAAATAACTACAGTGTTTGAAAGCGTACAACAGTTTTATGATATCACTGCCCCATCGACACTAGTGGATCTGACTTTAATTACATTTGACTCGAGTGTTTCGTCAACGTAATGACACTGTAAGTGTTGCACGGCTAGATACGGCTCGAGAAGCTGACTCAGATAAGGAAATATTGTGATATTATATGATCGATAATCTGATTGAATGTGATATGAATGATAAGTGCGACACGTCGGAGTCTTCTCTGCATAGGCAGTTTAAACTGTATTTCCTTTATCCTGTAATATGACTTGATAGTTTTAAACTCCGCACACTGAGCTCTGATTGGTCAGCAGGCGGTGCTTTCAATGAGTTGATCTATTTTCTATAGACGCCAGAGGTGGGCAGCATCAGGTAAAAAAAAGTTATTTAGCCTTCCCAAACCTGAGCCTCACGCGCCGCCTATGGCAATATCTATCTTCTTTCTGCGTAAGACATCTAAGATTTTTGAACGTTTATACGGAGAGTTAAGTCCTCTTACATTAAATGATACAATATTCAAATGTTCCAATGTATCTGTATGTGTATTATTCCCTGGACCTGTTGTGAGTTGGTGGTGGATCCCTGAGTTACAACCCTCCCCTTTCCCCCCCCCATTCGACCCTCTTCTTGGTAACATCTGTGAGCGTCACTTAGCTACGTCTGACCCCCTAATCGCACCAGGAGCGGCTGCGCCGCGCTGCGACCTCCTCCTGCGTCCTAACCCACCAGGCGCGTTTGAAAACGTTGCGGAAGCGGAGCGTCTTGTGTGCAGCCTCGCAGTTGTTGGATGAACATTCCACTTCCTGCCTGCGCCGCGCTGCGCCCGTCAAAAATAGGATTCATCCTATATTTTAGAAATTCCTTGCGGCGAGGAGCTTCTGGGACGCTTCGAGCCGCGGCGCAGCGCGGCGCAGCGTGTCTGGTGGAATAGCACCCATTGACTAGAGTGGCCGCGATCGCTAAAAACGCCGCAGCCGCAGCGCAACGCAGCGCAGACGCTCCTGGTGGGATTAGGGGGGTAACACTGAACACTGATTGTTCCCCCCCCTTGCATAAAGATAAAGCATAGCAGATCTCACAAACAGTAACATTGTTCATTCTGGACCTGTCCTCCAATTCATTGAGCTTCCTTCGCATCTGTGTCACCTCCATGATACACGTGCTAGTTTCCTTCTCATTCTTGCGCACGGCAACCTGAATGCTATCAATCTTATTGAAAACCGTGTTAAACTTTTTTGCGTGACCATCAGCTTGTTCTTTTAATGACCGGAGGATGTTGCCGTTTTCGACCAAGTGCTTCTTTATAGGATTGAGAGCCTTCTCAATCGCACCCTTTAGCATGTCTGCTACTGTTCTCTGCATTACATTACATTACA